TTCATCCCCAACTGGACCAAATCCAGCGCGGAGTTTTAGCCCATTTTTCTCGCTGACTCTTCCACAAGTGTAGATTGTGTGACGTTCCGATGTCCTCTTGCCATTCAATATCTGTTTTAAGGTCGGCTAGCGTAAAACAAATGATGAAATGAATGGACGAACGAAGTGACAGACGAAAGATAGCCGAATGATAAATGAATGAATAAAATTAACGTAGGAACGAACGACTGAATGAACGAACAAACTAACTAACGACTGAACAAACAAACGAATGACCGACCGACTGATTACCGACTGACCGATCGACTAAACGAATGAACGAACGAACAAACAAACGAATGACGGAGAAAACGAGTAAACGAACCAACAAACCTACGAAAGAACGAATGAATGCAAAAAGAAAAGTGGGTTTGTTAAAGAAATTGCTAAAAAGAGTGAAGAGTGCAATTTAACCTACCTTTGCCTGCCTTATATATGACAGAATATGGCTGTACTTGGAAACTTGTCTGCAAACGGAACATTCCAATAATGTTGTTAAATATTGATTTCATATAAAGATTAAGATTTCATTCAGTTTTTTTTGTTCAGAGTTTGTTTCACCAGATGCGCGCTCTTGCTAAGAGGTCTTGTCCTTAATCCGCATTTAAAAACACTCAATAAGAAAGCAGGCGCTAAAAGCAGTCCTTCTACCATCGTGGTAGAAACACAAGATAAGCATAAGATGTTAAGGCAATGATGGCATTCACAAAACGAATTTACAATTCGTTCATCGCAATTCTCTTTCTGTAGTGGTTTCTAGTGCAAATTTTCTGTGTAACTATCTAAACTTGTGGACGCTTGGAGAACTTCAAAAAGCAGTAAAAACACTCGCCTGAGGCTCTNGCCCATTTTTCTCGCTGACTCTTCCACAAGTGTAGATTGTGTGACGTTCCGATGTCCTCTTGCCATTCAATATCTGTTTTAAGGTCGGCTAGCGTAAAACAAATGATGAAATGAATGGACCAATGAAGGAACAGACGAAAGATAGCCGGAATGAATGAATGAATGAATGAATGAATTTATGTAGCCGGGAACGAACGCCGACTGACCGACTAAATGAACGAACGAACAAACAAACAAACAAACAAACAAAGGAACAAACGAATGAAGGAAGACACGAACACAGGAACCAACGAACCTACGAAAGAATGAATAAATGCAAAAAGAAAAGTGGGTTTGTTAAAGAAATTGCTAAAAAGAGTGAAAAGTGCAATTTAACCTACCTTTGCCTGCCTTATATATGACAGAATATGGCTGTACTTGGAAACTTGTCTGCAAACGGAACATTCAAATAATGTTGTTAAACATTGATTTCATATAAAGATTAAGATTTCATTCAGTTTTTTTGTTCAGAGTTTGTTTCACCAGATGCGAGCTCTTGCTAAGAGGTCTTGTCCTTAATCCGCATTTAAAAAACACTCAATAAGAAAGCGAGCGCTAAAAGCAGTCCTTCTATTATCGTGGTAGAAACACAAGATAAGCATAAGATGTTAAGGCAATGATGGCATTCAGAAAACGAATTTACATTTCGTTCATCGCAATTATTTTTCCGTAGTGGTTTCTAGTACAAATTTTCCGTGTAACTATCTAAACTTGTGGACGCTTGGAGAACTTCAAAAAGCAGTAAAAACACTCGCCTGAGGCTCTTGTGCTCACGTTTCCAAACATGGACAATGTTTTTCATGTTTTGAACCACAGTACTGTACAGATCNTTCGTTCGTTCGTTCGTTCGTTCGTTCGTTCGTTCGTTCGTTCGTTCGTTCGTTCGTTCGTTCATTCATTTATTCAACTCGGTAGAAATCTTTAGCTCAATTACCACAGTACTAATGTAATCACAATCATACAACATTGCATTAATTAGATTCTATCAATATCTATTGTTTTACAAGATTGCCGTGTGAGAATCCGATGACTCCAATATGTAGTTGATTTGCTTCTTCAATTTCCCAATTGATTTAATCTCTCTGATATTTTTAGATAATAAATTTCACAATAAAGCAACGCTAGTGGAACTGAAACTATGTTTCAAATACTTAGTTAGACTTGCCACAAACCACCCTTTGCTTAATGCTTCACTTATTCATCTCCCTTGAGCGAAGAAGACAAACGTTTAAGTTAACACCCATACATTGGCCACACCTATATCCAAATGACATACTTAAATGTATTTATACTCGTTGCGTTCTCTTCGTTGGTATTTTTGGTTACGCAATGCGTAACTCATTTAGGTGGGTTTTTCGGAGTCTTGTTTGTCGTATTATTTAAAAACGCTTATCAAGTATTCATTTACCTTCACTTTAGGACAGTTCAGTGCCTATCATTTCGACCGTCAATTAGTTAGTTTCTTGCTTTCTCTATATAATGTCCAAGGACGGCGAGGTTTCGGAGGACGCTAACGCTAGCTGTTATTTAATCGGCTCTTTTGAAGATGCTAGAGCTTATTTCGAATAAACGTTTTCTCATCTGCAGCGCGAGCTCTCGGATGATCAAGTTAAGTCTTCGTCGTCTTTAGTTAAGAAACTTACGTCTGAAACGAACTTAACTTTCAAGTTTAGTGGCAACAAGAAACAATTTGAGATCAATGCGCTCGAATACGTTTCTCAGAGTCTTGCTTTTGTGCAGTCGCTAAAATTCACTGTCGATCTTGAGGACTCGGATAACCAAGAAGTCTCAGCGTTAATTCTTAAACTTGACGAGTCTCCGAACTCCGCCTCGAAGGCCATTAAGCGGCGGAATAAACTCATTAGGATTGCCGACAAATCTGAAGCTGACTGGGCTGCTGTTGACGAGTACTTGTCTGACGAGGTTGCTTCGGGATCCGAAGACGAAAAGAAGATCCGTGCTGCTGAGCAGAGAGCTTTGAAAAAGAAGAAAAGTGCCCGGGTTGCAAAGTCCGGACAGAAGTTGAGTATTTTTTCTTTGTTCTTCTTGGCTTTACCCGTTCTTTATTATCTTTAGCTGTTTTTCAGGTCGAATACTATGGGCACTGCTGTACGTATTCCTCCGTTACAATAAATTCATTGTTATTGTATCATATTGGTGTGTTTTATGAGTGTGAGTTTAGAGCATAAATAAGTTATTTTCGGCAGGCAGTTTAGAAAATAACTATGCTTGTAAGAACCAACCTTTTCTGTTGAGCAGATCTTCAGCCTGACTTAGGGCTTCATCGAACTGGTCTTCCAGATCCTTGTCTTTTAGGGTCCATTTGACTTCCTAAAGAACAAAATACTCTGACTAGTTAGTTACTCTGAAATTGTTCTAATATAGTACCTAACTTGCAATTATAACAGACAAGATGGACAATAAGTTGCAGGTGTTTTGTTTCTGGAACTTCTGGCTTTGTAAAGTGCTGTCTTTGCCCGTCTACACAGATAACACCACTTAAAACAAACATGTATCATTTTAACATACCAGCAATTCTGCTCTTTGATTTGGATCACAGGCAAAATGCACTAACTTCTTGGGCTGGATTTTAAACCTGGAGATATACAAAGTTCAAAGAAATTGAAATAGAATGAAGCCATAATTAAAGCAGACTTCAAGTTACATGCACACCACCAGCATCTGTCTGGACAGACAAAATTGGGTGGGGTGTGCAGCCCGCTTCCCAAAATCCCTATTTATGACCAAAACCGGCAATTTTCCTTACCCTATTTATTCAATAATTCTGACCTGACCAAAAATTCTATACCCTTTTTATGACCTGGGGCCCGTTTCTCAAAAGCGCTGAAAGCTTTTGGGGTCCTCAAAGCCACTTTTATATAATCTGTATCTAAAAACAGAGAGGTGTATACGCCTGAAACACCTTGTATGAAGAGAAGCTCTGTTCAATATTATGAATATGTGAACAAAACAGGTCTGTAATAATAAGGTTTGAGATTTTGCTATGGCTTTCCGGGTGCGAAAACTTTTCTGGACCTTCAAGAAACGGGCCCCTGATCCTTTAATCAATACCCTGATTAAGACCTGTCTTGCAGTTAGTCACTTAGTTCAGACCGATGTTAAGCCATCGTGAAGGGCTTTTGTTCATGGTCTTATAAACACTGACGAAAAAGTTGCTTCTCATAAAAACATAGCCATTCCAAGACAAGTGCAAAAACCATCCCAATTTATGACCAAAGCGGCTAAAAAAAACAGACCCTTTGGGGCCGCACATACCTATATAGCCCATATAAAGGAGTACCCTCCTTCCGGTCTGTCCATCCGTCTGTCCATCAGTCAGTCAGTCAGTCATTCAGTCAGTAAAAGAGTAACTTAATTTATTTAATACATTAATTAAGACTTCCTTCACCAAGCATAAAATTTGACATAAGTTAAACTGATAACCTCATGGCCCTCAAAATAAATACTAATAAATAAGAAAAGAAGTCTCACATAGTCTGTAAAAGTTGTAAACCTGCATTAAGCAGACACCTAGACACCTTTACTATGCAGATACCAGGGCTGTCATTGAGGGCTGTAACCCATAACACCTGTTAAGGCTGAGTAAGCTTGATTTTTCCTTGATGCTACAGGAAAAACTGCTTGTTCTTGATAGAATTCACCCAAAAGTAACAAGTTTGCTATGGTTGTGGAGAACAAGGCTACAGGCAACTGGAAACTTAATTACAGCCCTGGATAATACTAAGAGTCTTGTGGGTTTCTGCTTAATACAGGTTTCACTGTATGCGTGTACTCATTCTCTTGTAGTGCCACGATTTTCAAAACATGCATGCTGTATGGGACATCAGCAGAAAACGCTACAATGTACATGTACTTTGTCTAATAGCTTGTGGTAAATAACAGTTGACATAAGCAGTCATTTTTGGCCAATTTGGCAAAGTGATTTTAGCTAAGCTGAAATATTAAAAAAAATAGTGTTTCTTTAATTAATAGCTTGCATTTACTAACTACTTATTAACCGAGGGTGAGGTCTATATGGGAATTTAATCTCAAACCAAGACCTTGCTGCATTGACTGAGTGATAGCGAGGTCAATACAACAAAGCTGAGGTTTGAGATTTTCCTGTAAAGACCGAATGCTCGAGGTTAGTAAGTTGTTTATTATATGGCTTTTGCTTTGGTTTTGCGTGCCAGTAATTGGTCTGCAGGAATAATGGGAGAATAAAGTCTGCATACAAGCCAAGTGGCCCACCAGGCCGGAGCTTATCCCAGTTTCTGTAGCATGAAGAGACTAGGAGTATTTCTACTTCCCCCTGGATGGGATGCTAGTCCATCGCAGTGTTACCCCCAGCATTAAGTTTGCCGGTACCCATTTACGCACCTTAGTGGACAGAAGCACTGTGAGAGTAAAGTGTCCTGCCCAAGAACACAACACAATGTCCCCGGCCAGGGCTCGAACCTGGACCAATCAATCTGGAGATGAGTGCACTAACCATGAGGCCACCCCGCTTCCCATTATGGGAGAATAATGCCCTACAATTGGCCAATCAGAGCGTGCATGATAATTTTTAAATATCAATTGAAGATCCCTCTGAAAAGGGCCTCATTAATTTTCATTGTCTAAGAAAAAAACNCTTGTTCTTGATAGAATTCACCCAAAAGTAACAAGTTTGCTATGGTTGTGGAGAACAAGGCTACAGGCAACTGGAAACTTAATTACAGCCCTGGATAATACTAAGAGTCTTGTGGGTTTCTGCTTAATACAGGTTTCACTGTATGCGTGTACTCATTCTCTTGTAGTGCCACGATTTTCAAAACATGCATGCTGTATGGGACATCAGCAGAAAACGCTACAATGTACATGTACTTTGTCTAATAGCTTGTGGTAAATAACAGTTGACATAAGCAGTCATTTTTGGCCAATTTGGCAAAGTGATTTTAGCTAAGCTGAAATATTAAAAAAAATAGTGTTTCTTTAATTAATAGCTTGCATTTACTAACTACTTATTAACCGAGGGTGAGGTCTATATGGGAATTTAATCTCAAACCAAGACCTTGCTGCATTGACTGAGTGATAGCGAGGTCAATACAACAAAGCTGAGGTTTGAGATTTTCCTGTAAAGACCGAATGCTCGAGGTTAGTAAGTTGTTTATTATATGGCTTTTGCTTTGGTTTTGCGTGCCAGTAATTGGTCTGCAGGAATAATGGGAGAATAAAGTCTGCATACAAGCCAAGTGGCCCACCAGGCCGGAGCTTATCCCAGTTTCTGCAGCATGAAGAGACTAGGAGTATTTCTACTCCCCCCTGGATGGGATGCTAGTCCATCGCAGTGTTACCCCCAGCATTAAGTTTGCCGGTACCCATTTACGCACCTTAGTGGACAGAAGCACTGTGAGAGTAAAGTGTCCTGCCCAAGAACACAACACAATGTCCCCGGCCAGGGCTCGAACCTGGACCAATCAATCTGGAGATGAGTGCACTAACCATGAGGCCACCCCGCTTCCCATTATGGGAGAATAATGCCCTACAATTGGCCAATCAGAGCGTGCATGATAATTTTTAAATATCAATTGAAGATCCCTCTGAAAAGGGCCTCATTAATTTTCATTGTCTAAGAAAAAAACTTACAAGCAATTGTGCCAAGCAAGGAATTTCACGAGAAACTTTCGGTCTTGTTTCCGTTTCCCTATGATCCTTTTAATCTGCAATACAGGACAAAATAACATCATACTTGGTGTCATCATGCAATGTCAAGTCCTGTGACAACATTTCTAGTCCCCCAATTGCTCTCAATTTGTTTCATATTACTCCCAAATAAACTTCAGTCAAAGCTCTCATAAGCGACCACCTTCAGTTGGAAATTNCCAACCACAAAATAAAAGTGAAGCCTTTGAGAGGACTGGCTCATAGTTGCCGGAGCTTATCCTGGTTTCTGTAACATGAAGCGGCTAGGAGTATTTCTACTCCCACTGGACGGGATGCTAGTCCATTGCAGGCCACTCCCCCCGCAATTTGTTAGTCTTCCCCAACAGTTTGCCGGTACCCATTTATACTCCTGGGTGGAGGGAGGCACTGTGAAAGGTAAGTGTCTTGCCAAAAAACACAAGGCCAGGGCTTGAACCCGGACCTTGATCCGGGGACGAGCGCACTAACCATGAGGCCACTGCGCCTCCACCAACCACAAAATAAGTTGTTAGTAATACTATAATTACAAAATATATCAAACTTACTTGGGCTGGCCAATAGGGTTCTCGGTAATATTTAGCCCACACAATGTCTCCAACAGAAAACTGGTCTACAAGAAAATAGAAAATTATGTATGACAACGTGACCATTTTAAACTAAACACAACTTTCAAGCAAAAACCAAGAGTTGAGAGTGCAGCTGTGACTGGTTCCAAGCTCACTCTGACTTGTGAGTAATAAAGACAGGTATGCACCCACCTTTAAATGGTAGTCTATACTGGTCTTAACAGCCTTATCGGCAAATTTCAATTCAGACCAACCTTTTCTCCTTCCCTTGGTGTATATTACCCAGTCTTCCTTGGCAGCATAGTAAAAAAATTAACTGATTTACTGTCTTGGAGTTGGCATTAATGTTTTAGTACAAACTACAACCAACTTAGACAAAAAAAATATCCTCCACTCCAGGAACACTGCACACGTCAGAACTGGAGCACCAGATTAGTTTTTAGGGCTAGGACAAACTAGGTTAAAGGGTGTAAAGGTTTTCTGGGCTGTTCTATACTCTTACTATACATGTACGTGTACAGCACAATCACTTCTGCAGTGCACTTAATTTTAGTTCAATGCTACTGGTTAAGGCTGTAAACACGGAAGAATATTTGGCTCTGAGCCATAATCAAGCTTAACTTGACAGGGTTCAGGCAGACAGACCAAATGTATTACCCATGCATTCATTCAACCTAAACTATTTTGTATGCCATTGGACTGCAGTACAGTATAAGCACTAAACTTACTGCTTTCTTGACTGGGAGAAAATGCATCAGCCAAGAGCTCGTCATCTGAGCTCACATCAGAGGATGCACTGGTGTTGATGCCAGCCTTTTCATCATTCTCTTTATCTGCCGTTCCTGCACTGTCATCAACATGGTTCTCACCACTCACTCTTAATTTCTCTTCCTCAAACCCATTTCTATGATTTATTTTTAATGTTCTCTTATTGGAAAGTTCAACACTCTTGTCATTTTCAAGTGATTTGTCTCCATCATCTTGATCAACCTGATGAGCGGATTTTGTTTTCTTTGACGACATTCTCCTTTTGGGAGATTCATCATTAATTAACTGTCGTTTTGCCTTATGATGACCATTGCACAGAGCTTCCAAGAAANGAAATTGAAATCTTGAAATCCCGGCATTTGACTTACACCTTTCATAAATTAAAACTCTTAACTGTATTAACTTCGTTTCTTCCTGTTCATTGCAAATTTACGTTGGCTTCGATTGTTTGACATTTCATGGAAGCAACTCTTTAGCCTATGTGGTTACAAGGCTTAACTTTGAACGTGCATGACGTGATGCTTTGCACTGCACGTACAGAAATCACAGAGAGAAATGATCGACTCGATTAAAAACCTACCTGACCAGGCCAAAATATGTCTCCTCGGGCACTAGCCCATACAATAGATCCAGTATAAAACTGATCCATTTAAATAAGAATTACCCAAACATTCGATCGATCGTTGAAAGTTTCGTTCCACTTTTCTTTACGTCTTCGATCGAGCTAGCGACGCGCGGGAAGAGTTCAGAAGTCACATCATCCAATCAACTCGCTAGTTCCAGGTTCGTCTCCAATCGTGTTGTGTGCCTTGGGAAAATCTGTCGTGGAGACATTTTCAATGAAGTCACCGAGATATTTGATTCAAAAATTCGTCTGGTGCTCTGTAATAACGCCAACAAATGCCGTCTATTCGTATCAAAGTAGCTTATCACAATACGAAGCATCTCATAGATGATATCGAAATGAGCTGTAAAGTTCTAGAATTGAAGCAAAAAACGGCGGAAAAGACCAACATACCAGCGGAGCAACAAAGTAAGCTTATCTCGTGTGATGTCTAAGCTCAGTTATCGTAATTAAGGTCTTATCATTCCTGTATTCTACACAAGTTTAATTTCAGACTTGATTTTCTCGCAACATTCCATCGATTAACATTCATTTAATTCACAAAGACTGGTTTGATTAGTGAATAGCTTAGTGTTGCTACAGAGATTCCTTGTACCTAAGTATAAAGCGTACATGTGCGGTTATTTCTTTCATGGTCTAGTAATAAGCCTACTTTAGAAACAAAAAAGTCGTTGTTTCGTGGGAAAGATGCTTGCAACTTTTATAAGTGTTGCTAGTGATAGTAAAATAATTAATTGGGGGGTTGGTACGGTGGGTCCAACAAAAGCCTGGAAGGGATTACAGGTATTCTATTTCTGGAAATTGTTGGGTGGGTGTTGGGGTGGGGGTGATTCACTAAGGGCCTGTTTACAAGAAGGGAGGTTTACCCTAGCAAGCGGGTTAACCCTAGCTGGAGGGCAAAAGATAATCCAGGTTTACAAGCAAAATTTCACAGGTAGGGTAACCCTACAATCCGGGACAACTTAATGCACAGTTACACTCAAAGGGTCTGGAAACAATTAGAAAGTTAACCTGGGTAGGCGGGTTAACCCTACCTGGAGTGTTTACAAGGGAAGAAGTTAACCTGCCTGCCAGGGTAACCCTAGCATGCAGATAGGGTAACCCACCTACCTGGGTAACCCTAGCTGACTTGTAAACACGAAGGAAAAAGGAGGAAATGTGGGAGTGTTAGGGTAACCTGCTTGCTAGGGTAACCCGCTTACTAGGGTAACCCACTTGCTAGGGTAACCCTCCCTCCTTGTAAACAGGCCCTAAACCTCTTACAATCCCAGCTTCCACAGCCGAGGTTGCACGTCAGCTTACATATCTTGTATTTGTTGGTTTACGAACTTCATACCATAGAATTAGTTGAACCTCTATTGAACATGCACCCCCTTTTAAGGGGCCAGTGATCAGAGTCCTGAAATTGTTGTTAATGAAATGAGGTAAATGAACTGGCCACTCCTATTAAGCGACCACGGCCACATTTTGGTTGTCCCAAAGAGAGTTTTACTTTGTCCTAAACCCTATTAAGCAGCCACCCATAATTTAATACACATAGTTTGGCTTTGGTTTGGAAAAGTGAAATAACAGATAACAGCCCAAATTAGAAAGTGGCTACTGATAATTAAACATTCCAACACTTGTTTATTATTGTCTTCACATGATTCCCTGTTGACTTCAAGCATGTTTGCAATTGAATAAATTGACGTTTCAACTAAGTTTGTGCTAAATTCCTGACAAACCCCTACTAAGCGGCAAACCCCTATTAAGCCACCACCCCACCCCTATTTCCTCAAGGGTTGCCACTTAATAGGGGTGCAACTGTATTTACATTAAGGTACATACATGTAATTATATGTTCTTGTATGTTTAGATTTTATATTTGCTGGACAATTGCTTAAGGATGAAAAAACTCTGGACTCCTATGGAATCGAAGATGGATTCACAGTTTATGTGATGAAGAAATGTCCTGAACCAGAACCCATTGGTATGAAGCATTTTAACAGATAAATTATGCATACATGTAATTTTATGTAGTTAGTGTAACTGTTTATTAGTATTTACTATCAGCAATTTTCTAGGGTGAATTTCCAGGTTGATAAGAGATCTGTCCTTGAATTAACCTTGAAAGAGCTACAAACTTTAGTATCCAAGTTTCCATTGCTGCAGTTAAAAAAGAACACATGTAAAAGGTCCGACCAGAAAAGAAAAATGGGAATTTAAGATTGTGTGATCTTTACTGAAAACTAATTTAATATAGGCTTCCTGTTTTCAAGATTACAGGGTTGTACGTTTGGGACTAGGGATCCATACTGGTTTACAATGTTTTATGGAAATCAGCTAGATTTTTCAGAGTGACTCAGAAAACCCAAAGGGGACCTACATGTAAGAATCAGTTAAAATTTCCTGTGAGAGAATGGTCCCAGACCTCTCTAGAAGCTTGTGGCTTCAGCTCTCCTTGTTTTGGAAATCAGTCACTATTTACCCTAGATCTGCACATGTCTGAATAACTGTGTTATACCTGCAAACTAGCTGGTGAGTTTTCTCACAAAAGCTTAGTGTATATACACAATAANGCTCTTCGAACTGAACTTCTTTATAAGAAAAACTTCCTGCTACAGTAGATTGTCAAACCCCTGGGGGGCAAAATCGTCTTCACAGCCGGTCAATTTGAGGGAGTTCCAACTGTGATTAGATAGTTTAAATCAGAAACTTCTTGTATATCTTCATATCATCTCTCTTCTAGTTTTGCAAACCTAACAAATTTGCATTTGCAGCTTATTATTGTAAATATCAATCTACAGAGTGATTCAAGAGCACCCTAGCCTTATTCAGGCAGCGTCCTATATTGCCGCAGCTCTTGCCAAGGAGGGAGGTGGGGGAAAGCATCCTATCAGGAATCGTAGTCGTAGGGCTGGTGATGACTACGACTCTGATGACGAGCTACGGAGCATGGAACCTGGGGTAAGATGATGGCATGTTGATGGTGTGCCGTTAAACTCAAAATTAAGAAATAAATTCCACCAACAGAAGCTACATGTACATGTACATCAAGCTGTCTAAGGAGCATTACACCATGTGTGTGTTGTGTGTTAGACAGGACACAGCACTCTTACTTGCAGGGCTGTCATTAAGGGCCATACTCTGTTACACCTGTTACAGCTTTAAGATGCTTGTTGGGCTCTTGATTTTACAGGACGGTGAAATTGCCTTTTATTGATGCAATTGACCCAAAATGTAACAAGTTGAAACAGGTGAGAAGATCAAGGCTACACTGACTACAGGTGACTCAAAACATAATTACAGCTGTTCAGTGCCTCTCACTGCCCAGAAGTGATTACAATAACTAAAAGTAGAATGATTCTCTAATTTCTTCTGACTAGAGCTATACAAAATGTCTGAAACCTGTTAGGCGAATTTCAAGACCTGGGCTTGTCTCTTCCCTTCATTTGGTCACAGGGTTGGAAACANTACTCTTGCACATTCTTTTATTATTATATCATGCTTGACAGACTAAGAAAAAGGAGTGTTCTTGTAGTCTATTGTTAATTGACTAGGTGCTGGGTTGATTATTTTCAGTCCCAGCTGCAGCAGCTAAGGGACATGGGTATCACGGATGATGCAATGAGTCTCCAAGCTTTATCAGCCACTGGTGGAGATGTCCAGGCAGCTCTTGAATTAATCTTTGGAGGATTATAATCTAAAAAATAACATCAATCTTTTTGCTAAGCCACAGACCCTTTCATTGGAATAAGTCTTTTTTTCAGTTATTTATTTTAGTGCACTGACGGATGTTGTTTTAACTCAAAATTAAAGGACATCTGTCTGTGAGAGGGTTCAATTTGGCAGCATAGTGCCTGTCCATGCCAATTTACGACGTGGGAAGGTCCTGAACTTTAAATTAAGGAATAAGGCCTCCCCTAGATCTGGCACTAGCTGCTACATTACGACTAGTGTATGTGTACATATAATTATATTATTGGCCTTCCGTTTTTGAAAAAAGTGAAAATG